TCTCTCTCTCTCTCTCTCTCTCTCTCTCTCCCCCTTCAATCAATCAATCAATTAAGTCGGGTCGGGTCGGGTGCCGTCCCGACGTGTTCGAGATCGGACCAACCTTTTTTTTTTTTTTTTCAATCAATCAATCAATCAATCAATCAACCGAAGTTGATTGATTGATTGAAACAAAAGCCACAAACAAAAAACAAAGAAACCGGATCGGGTCGCGTCCCGTCCCGGCCCGATTGACATCGCACCAAATTTTTTCTATTTCAATCAATCAATCAATCAGCGGGGGACTCGGAGGCAGCAGAGGGAAGAGCGACGGGGAAGGGTGGAGGGGCGGGGGAAGCAGCAGAGGGAAGAGCGACGGGGAATGGCGGGAAAGAGAGCCGAGCGGTGGTGGTCAGAGGGCGGCGGAGATGTGCGGGGGTGGGCGGAGGTGCGTGGAACTGGGCGGAGTCTGGCGGAGGTGACCAGAGCGAAGATGGCCGGAGCGGAGGTGAGCGGGCGTAGAGGAGGTGGCTGCCTGGACCGCAGATGGGCCGAGGCGGGCGGAGGTGGGCGGAGGTGGGCAGGTGGAGCGACAGTGGGCGGAGGTGGGCGAAGATGGGCAGAGGTGGGCGGAGGCGGATGGATTGGATCAGGATTGGGATCGGAAAGCAGAAGCGGAGGTGGCGAACTTGCCACGTGGCGATCTTGGCACGTGGGAGGGGGAGGTGGCGAACTTGTCACGTGGCGATCTTGCCACGTGGGAGGGGGAGGTGGCGAACTTGCCACGTGGTGGGAAGCGGAAGCCGAGGCGGACGTGGGTGGAGGTGGGCAGGTGGGCAGAGGTGGGCGGAGGTGGGCGGAGGCGGCGAACTTGCCACGTGGCGATCTTGGCACGTGGGAGGGGGAGGTGGCTGGACGTCAGCGGAGCGGACGCAGTGGGAGGGGTGAGTGTCGGAGATGGGCGGAAGACCCTCCGTCCTTTTTCTTTTTTTCTTTTAATGTTTTTCTTTTTTTTCAATCAATCAATCAATCAATCAATCAATCAATCAATCAATCGATCAATCAATCGAAATTGATTGATTGATTGATTGATTGATTGATTGATTGAAAGCGGGGAGGGCGTAGGAGCGAAGGTGGGCGGAGGTGCGGGGGATGGTGGAAGTGCGGGGTAAGCCGTAAGAGCGGGGCAAGCAGCGGAGGGGCCAGAGGAAGGATCAACCAACCAATCAATCAATCAATCAATCAATCAATCAATCAGTCATCAATCAACAAATCAACCAATCAATCAATCAATCAAGCATGCAATGCATTGCAATCAATTGATTTATTGCTTGATTGATTCGTTGGTTCATTGATTGATTGATTGTTGCGGTGATGCCGGTTACTCGAGATAGAGGTCCGTTCGGGATCGCACCAATCTATCAACTCTCTCTCTCTCTCTCTCTCTCTCTCTCTCTCTCTCTCTCTCTCTCTCTCTCTCTCTCTCTCTCTCTCTCTCTCCCTCCCTTCAATCAATCAATCAATCAACCGAAGTTGATTGATTGATTGATTGATTGATTGACTGATTGATTGATTGAAACAAAAAACACAAACAAAAAACAAAGAAACCAGGTCGGGTCGGGTCCCGTCCCGGCCCGTTCGACATCGCACCAACTTTTTTCCATTTCAATCAATCAATCAATCAATCAATCAATCAATCAATCAATCAATCAATCAATCAATCAATCAATCAATCAGCGCGGTGTCGGAGGGCGAGGTGTCTCGACCCTCCTTTGTGTACCAGGTCCTCGCTCAGTGCCAGTCCCTTGTCCCGACTTACTGATCACTAGGCTCATCTCGTGTTGTAGGCCTGGTACCCGGACTGCTTTTCGGCGCGGACCGGTCCTGGTGACGTTGCCTCAGCAAATAGGGTGCCCCATAGGACTTCCATTGGTCCACGAAGGCTCGGTGCCCTGCTGTACAGCAGAGCACTACCGGCCTGAAGCCATGGTAGCCGCCGTGTTCGCCCTGGGACGCGAAGGTGAAAAGGCCAGGGCGGTCTTTTCTACGGCGGATCAAATGCCTCCTAACCAGGTTATGGGTTAGGTGCACGGGATAGAAGTCGTTGTCAGAAGAGAAAAAAAGAAAAAGGAAAATAAAGCGCTGAATTTGAACTTGTTTTAGTTTGGGAAAAATCCAGTGGCCTCAGGCCACTGTGATGCTACGATTTCCTTTCCGTTTCTGATATACTGCTATCATTATTATGATTATTATTACTTAATTTCCTATTTTCAATTTTTTCTTTGTTGGCCTGTCGTTTCACGGGAAGGCCAACGGTTCAAATTTCGAGCTCATAGGTCCATAGCCTAAGTTGGCCAACCTCACGTATATCGTCTGTGGGTGAACTCCGATTGAGCGCCACGCGGTGAGGCCCCAAAAGAGGGGCACCCGCGGTCGGGTTGGTAGGAGGAATATCACCCCCTATAGAGGGTCATAAACCCCCTCCTTGCCATCGGACACTGGTACCCAACAGTAACAGGTCGACGGCGAGCTTTGAAGGTGGAAGTACGCAAGTTGGTATCCCGTTATGGGACCACCGCTTCAGGGTTGCAGTCACCTCGTGGTGAGGCGAAGCGACAAGGGTCGATAGTAGAAAGTCTGCAGTCGCCGGCGGTTGCTGAGACTTCGCTATTTTTATTTTGATCTGTTTTTATTTTATTGTTTTATTCCATTTAATTAATTATATGGCCCCAGGTTACTGATGAGCAGAGTTTCAGAGGGTACCTCATTTAGAACGTTGGGCTCACGGTATACAGCCGATCGTATAAAAAGGGAAAAGAGGACCGAGACTTGGCTATCTAGTGGCTGATCAGGAGGCTGCTAGCGGACTGCTTTGCGGCATTAGCGCACAAGCCACTTCGTTGTGCCAGCGCCAATCAACCGAGGTGAAGGGGACAGAGTAGCAGGGGTTTAGCGGGTGTCGATTGCCTGTGCCTAGGGCCAAGGCTCTGTTTATTCTGAGAACGACTATGGCGCTGCACGGCTATAGGCCCGGTCAGTGGTACCATTAGGCCCGGTGGAAGCCTATGTGTGGGGAAGGGCCCTGGATTACAGTGATACTCAACTACGACGGTGGGGACAAGGTGCAGTTGACGATTAATGTGGAGGGAGCGAAAGAGGGAGAGATGCGGACTAACCCGAAAGTGCAGGACGCAGTCACAGAGGCGAGAGATCGTGCGGAGAGGCGCTGCAGAAGAGACGGTGTGACGGCGAGGCTACGGATAACGGTGGCTTATCATGAGACTGAGACTGAGACTGACACGGCGGATAGAGAGCAGGCCCACCTGGACAGGGACTCAGGTGGGGAGAGCGAAATGAGCGAAGCGGGAGATCGGGAGACGGACCTCAGGTCCTGGAATAGACCAGGCGAGGTCCAGAGGTATCACCGAGCCGCGAAGCCGGTGGAAGAGGGACCCGAGGCTTACTCTCGACAGCTGACGCCCAGAGGCCGCGGGACGGGTGAGAAGCAGAGCAGGGGGAAAAGACATATGTGAGAGGGCGCACAAAAAAGAGAGGTCAACAGCAGAGAGAGAGAGGAGTGAGGGCGGTTATGCGCGTGTGCAGGCTGCACGTGGCAAGGTCTGAGGCAATAAGAGAAAGTCAAAGAACGAGATAAAGGAGAGAGACACATGCGAAGTGTGGTTGACGACAACCACCACCTACGCGCTCGTGTGATGCATGAGCTGACTACAGTTGGCAAGAAAGTGAAAAGGAGCGAGAGAAGAGAGGAAATTTGAGGGAAGTTTTCGCACGCATGGTGTTGATTGATGTCGCCCTCGCTTCCGTCTCTCGCGTTTTAGTTTGCCACCCAGAGAGAGATATCTGTTCCCCATTGCTCTCGGCACAAGGGCCTGCCTTGTCCGGACATGCGAGGACACGTCTTTACCGTTTGCCCATTTCTCTTTCTTTCCTTTTTCTGAGAGGCAACATTCTTGTGCGGGTCGCTGCTGACACAAATAGTTTTCTGGACGGACTTGACCTGAGCATGATCAAGGAAGATTAAGTTTCTTGCTAACATCAGAATATGAGTGTCGCTCACTGGTCGGGGGTTTTGCTATGTTCGCTGCTCTCGATGGACGAACCTGGGTTGTAGTAACAGCGAGGTCATAGCCGAGTTGGGATGAGCGCAGAGTGACCATGGTAGGTGCTTAGTGTTTGGTGTGCGGAAGTTGTATCCTTGGTTCATGGTGAAGTGCCACGTTCTGGCTAGCCAACGAGTTGTCGTTATCTTCGGATTACACCAGTGATTTACTGCTTTTTCCCCTTGCCTTATGAGACTATACGCGCAGCCTCTGCTGTGCGCGAGAGAGCTGGGATGGGCTGTTGACGTCAATCATCGGTAAGTGATGAGAGACGTGCTACGACTGCGGATGGAGATAGAGTTGGGTGAGCTGGTTTGAAAATGATGAGGGTGTATAAGCACTAGTGACCAGACGAAGAAGCCTAGGTGATTGAAAGGGAGAGCGAGGGCACGACTTTTGAGATCACTGCTACAAGTTGGAGTGTGTTGACCCGCTATTGGCAAACGCTTCCGCTTCAAGTCACTCGCTTCCAACGGATTGAGCTTGGTGTATTCTTGACAGTATTATAACTCATCATTCCTAGTTGGTTATCCTTCACGCAGCTGATCGAGGGCTCCTGTAGTCGTCGATCAAGAGACGAGTCGTGGCTGTTGGTCGTTACATCGATTTCCCGGAGCCATCAATTGATGGCGACCCTGCCTTTACTGAGCTGGTTCCCTGGGAGTGTGATCGAGAGGGAGATCGGGATTTACTCACACTGGTTTCTTGGGGGGTAGATAAGGAGTGATCTGGTCCTTGTATTTTGAGTAACCATCTGTATTCATAGGAATAGACATGTAGCTAACGTTTGAAGTCTCCACTACTTGAACATGATTGAGAAGCTCGTGATAACTGTTGCGCTGACTGGCGAACTTTGGCGAAGCTTCCGTGAGCTTACACTCTTCCGAACGAACCATACTGATCAGGTTCCACCTAGGGTGCATTAACGAGAGATCAGGATTAAGTGATGCTTGCCTAATAATGAATCTTATCGCTGAAATTCGTGTTTCCTGTCGAGTCCGAAGACATAACCTCTTGGCTCAATGATTCAGTCCTTGTGATTGTGTGAGATTCTTGCTAACTAATCAAGTCAGGTAAGATCCGTGGCAAGTTTAAACTTTCCCCTGATCATTGCTTCTTGGTTTCCACACTGGTAGTTAACCTTTGAAGTTATGACTCAATAGTTAGTGTATGTCGCAGAATTAAGGGCGAGACCGTGACAGTTCTTGGCAAGGGAACGCGTGGAAGATCTAGTTTTAATTCTATGTGTCGCTTTTCAACTCCTTTCGTGATTCCCACAATGACAGTTTAGGGCCTGTTTTTTTTTCCTTTTGTTTTTTTTTGTCGAATGCAATAAAGTCTGGCAGGAGCTACTCTCCCTCACGAGCAGCCATACAAGTGTTCAATCATGTAAACCGTTATACTCTTGCGGGATTGAATGTATGCATGACAGAGCAAATTTACGTGCTCCTTCGATCCGTGAATATAAAGTATACCCGAGTAAACAGAGGCATGCACGACGGTGAAAGCCCGTGGTCACTTTGAATGGTCACGTACTACTAAAACCGCTTGAGTTGTAGTCTCACCTGTCTAAAGACACGTAAGTGAGTAGGAGTGAAGCACTGGGGAGGTCATGAGAACCTTACAAAGCCTTGTAAATGCATGAGTGTTCGATCCCTTTGAGCGCAAAGGCCGTGTGATGAGCCACAAAGGAAAAAGGCGACAGCTGAGAAAAATAGCTTATTTAATCGCAAAGTTTCTGCTTGACGGAGACTGATATCAGGTGCTCGGTCAAGCTGAGTGATAAGAAGAAAAAGAGACAGCAACTATCTTCCTGAGTTCAATTGACCTAAAACTACAAGTGTAGTGGTGTCAAGAAGTGTAAATCTTCAAGCGATTCAACTACCTTTATAGTGTAAAGTGAACTATAGGCTGCTGAGAACGTCAATGCGTTAGAGGTGCAGCGATTAGTAACAGTTCATGTTATGCGTAGCTAGAGGTTATGTTTATTCACATGTTTGTACAAGTCCTCTCAGTAAAACCCGCTACCAGAGACACTCGGAGTGTTGTCTGAGCAAACCCACGGCCGAGCGTTTGACCTGTTATCAAGAAAAGGGGGGGGGGGGGGCTCGGAGCTGATCATGAACGTCAGCTTCCTAACTTTACCTCATTAAAGTTACTCGGGAAATAGGATGAGGCACTCGTGGCTTACTGTACCCTTGCACTCCGAGTGATAAGAGGAAACAATTTCACGAATTTGCTCATCTATTGGGCAAGGGCCGCGCTCCTAGAGGGTGGTCTGTATCTATGACCGAGTACCGAGCTCAGAGAAACTTTGGTTGATATCATTTGGCGTACAAATGGACTGCATGGACGAAGTAAGTGCCCAGACTTACAGAGCCGATTATGGGATTCCGGTTCTCTGAGCAAAGTCCCGATTGAGTGAACCATTTTCTAAGTACTGGTGTGCTAAATGTTAAGTAAGATCTGAAAAGCAGTATCACTAGATACTCAGAAGTCTTGAAAGAGATATTTAGAGGCAAGGCATAGACGAGTGGACTGCGTTCGACCGAGCCTGTTTCTACGTGTCATTCAGCGCAGTCAGATAGTGAAAGAGGCATCTGACGTTAGAGACGAAAACTGCTTATCTTGGCAACATTGATTTGAGTACTTTGACCGGGAGCTAAACTCTGAAGGTCTCGGTTGTCGTTTGGTCAATTATCAACTCCGTCTGAAGCAATCAGCTGCCGCTTCTGCGAACTGCGCGCAAGTAGGAACTTCAAGCCGTAACTTATCATGTCTTGACTCTCCGAGAACCTCAGATCCTAGATCTGAAGATCAGAATAGAGAGACTCAGTGGAAAGATGGGTGATAATGACTGTGTGAGGGTGACCTGTTCGCTATGCCAGGGTACAACAGAGGGTTCGAGAGAGAGAGAGAGAGCAATTGAGGAATATAACTTCCAAACAACTATGATGATGGAGCATGCGCTGACTTTAGTGAGACACCACATTAAAATTGAGTACACGACAGAAACGGAAGACTGTATGCCATCATCTCATCAGTGAGCTCAGTTGAGGAGGCAAGGAGAACTGTTTGTGTGTGTCAATGAGATGAGACTGCACCCGACTAAAGCAGAGTAAGGAAAACCAAGTCATTCCCAAAGCTGGATCCAGTCAAAACACACACCAGATTACTAAGACGCAAACAACAGCAAGCGTAACAGCATGGTAATCATCAGCAGGATTGGCAATCCAGAGATAACCAAGATAACTAGTGATCGGCAAACAATCAGCAGTCAGTAATATTCAGATTTGCAGTCAACAACAGTTCAAACAGTGAGCAAACAGTAACCAGACAGCTATCAAACACCATCCAGTTGGCATTCAAACTACCTCGTGCTTGAGGGTGGCTATCAGGGCACACTGCTGTATAATCTGAATGTAAAAGAAGAGGGACATGAAGGATGATGAGATCCTACTAGTAAAGAGCACACTAATCAGAGAAAAGAGAAAGGGATGGGGAGAAGAAGTCATCAAAAACATGGAAACCAACAGGCAAGTGCAGAGAGAGCATGCAGTCGGAATAGCGGGCAAGAAGAAGTTCATCGAGTACGTAATTTATTTCTACGGGCCTGTCAACAAACTGCACAGTACCAGTTCCATGCTAGAAAGTGCGGAACAGGCCAAGGCTAAGCTCGGGTAATCCCAGTAGTATCAAAAATCGTCATTTCGGTTCCCTTTAGTATTGATGCAGCAATCAGACGGGCAATCAAGCCAGTGATCAGACCAGCAACCAAACCAGCAATCAGACCAACAACCAAGCAGGTAATCAAACAGTAATCAAACAGCGGTCAGACAATACTCAAGCACCAGTCAAGGGTTTGTTAGTTTGCTGACAATTACTGCCTAGTTCAGTAGGCAAACAGTTGGCCTGACCCGTAACAGATTTATCAGTCAGAGGTTTAGTCTCCTTTCAGTTATTCGGCAGCTGGCTAGGCGCATGATAGAGATCAACCCCATCACGGTTGGCCAACTGGTCCTCGACAACCTCAATCGGGTAGCCTCGAGAGAAAGCTTCCCCTACAAATATGTCAGAATCGATGGTTTCAAGCATGAAAACCTGTCGATCTTCATCGCTCTCACAGAGTTTGCAGAGGATACGGTCAAAGACCTGCGGATTTATCTAAAGAAAGGGAACGAGGTACACCCCCATTTTGATGCAGTTTGGGCAGCGGCAGCCGGGTACGTGCAGTGGAAAGCCGAAAGACTCCAGGGGAGCGCGAAGCTAGTCTATAACTTTGGCCCTAAGCTCTTTACGGACTAACCCAAACCGCTTGTCCCTTACTTCCTTACTAATGGGTCCTATTGTGGTGGACTGGTGGATTTGGCCAAGAGATATTTATCGCCCGTGGAGATCGACTACGAGGTAGTGACCGAGCCCTCAGAGTTTCCACATCTCAGGAGGGGCATTTTCCCTCGGCCATATCTCCCTACTCTATGGGAGGAATTTTGTGCTATGGTTGACTTCCGTATCATGGGACTTGGTTGGAAGTGCTTGGAAGTGGCAGGGTTCAGGTGACTCTGCATTCAGAAGCCCCAGGCTCAGAGAGTACGAAGACATGGGAAGAAGCCCAAACGAGAGACAGCGAAGTAACAGATGGAGAGGTATGTTCGGAGGGTTGAGTGAGGACTCTTGATTGGTGCTGGCCATGCTCTCTTCTATATGTACTCCCTGAGACTATTATGAGAGTTCTCATTCTTCCCTCATTCATTTGCTTGTCCTTGTCATTTGCTTGAGTCAGTCGGTCTTGCTTCTTGCATTGTTCATGCCTGATGATTGCCCTCGCAAATGATTCTGTCACAGTTCTCAAAATCAGAATGACATAATTGATGCATGCATAGCGCCCCATAATTTCATGATTATTATTTGCGTGATTCTGCTGTTCCGAATCAAAATAAAAGATTCCTAAGACCGGGGACCGGCGAAGACCGCAATTGAAGGGTCTCGCTCGAAGCCGGACGCACACAACAGGAAGGGATTTGCATTATTTAATTTATTTTATTTATTACAATTAACAACCAAATCCTGCGTGACAACCTGTTGGCTTTCTTGGTCGCTTGAAGTGACACGACTAAGAAAAAGTGCGACAGCAGGAGGCAGTGGATAGGAGGAGCAGAGGAGCGGGGGGAGCAGCAGAGGGAAGAGGGACGGGGAAGGGCGGGAAAGAGAGCCGAGCGGCGATGGCCCGGTGGGCAGAGGGCGGCGGAGATTTGCGGAGGTGGGCGGAGGTGGGCGGAGTTGCGCGGAAGTGGGCGGAGTCGGGCGGAGGTGATCGGAGCGAAGATGGCCGGAGCGGAGTTGAGCGGGCATAGATGAGGTGGCCGCGTGGACCGCAGATGGGCCGAGGTGGGCGGAGGGGATTGAGATCAGGATCGAGAAGCGGAAGCGGAGGTGGCGAACTTGCCATGTGGCGATCTAGGGATTCTTGGCACGTGGGAGGGGGAGGTGGCGAACTTGCCACGTGGCGATCTTGTCATGTGGGAGGGGGAGGTGGCGAGCTTGCCGCGTGGCGAACTTGCCACGTGGTGGGAAGCGGAAGCGAGACGGAGGTGGGCGGAGGTGGGCGAAGGTGGGCGGAGGTGGGTGGAGGCCGGCGGAGGGCATCGGGATCAGGATCGGGAAGCGGAAGCGGAGGTGGCGAACTTGCCACGGGGGAAGCGGAAGCGGGGAGAAGCAGAGGCGGAAGCGGAAGCGGGGAGAAGCGGAGCCCGAAGCGGAAGCGGAGAGAAGCGGGGAGAAGCGGGGACAAGCGGGGACAAGCAGAACCGGAAGCGCAAGCGAGGAGAAGCGGAAGCGGGGAAAATGGAAGGGGTTCCAATCAACAAATCAATCAATCAATCAATCAATCAATCAAGTTAGTTTCTTGATTGGGCAGATGCTCTCTTTGAGAGGGACGCACCGATACCAAACTGTTGGATACCAAGATGGTACAGACCATAACCAAAAACCGACCTCTCATCGATAGAACTAGATAGGACAACGGAAGACTGAAATACCAATCATCAAACCGATGTCTCAATGTCACAATGCAGACTGCACACACATCATCATTATCATAGCCTGCGAATGGCCTGGCGCTCAAGAAGTAGAGGATGAAGAACAAAAAGAAGAAGAAGAAGAAGAAGAAGAAGAAGAAGAAGAAGAAGAAGAAGAAAAAAAAAAAAAAGAATGTGGAAAAAAGAATTAACCTACTTAACAGCAGAAGCCACGTCGATCCCTCGCTTCCTCTCCTCCTCAAAACCGAAAACGCCTCCTTTTTCGATGTTGATCCCCACGCGATAATGCCCAGACGCGATTGTGCCTCTCTCTCTCTCTCTCTCTCTCTCTCTCTCTCTCTCTCTCTCTCTCTCTCTCTCTCTCTCTCTCTCT